AGGGTTCATGAGTCCAAGAGGTGACGAGCTCTCCGAGCATAGCTGGGACAGTCGCCTCCATTTTTTCCAAGGAACCGTCCTTTAACCTACTCTTGTTCCCAAAAACTTCATCATTAATATTCTCAGTGTCTGTGGATGTGTTCATGTAGCTTTCACCATCTGAACCATTTGAGCTATTGCTACTGCAAAAACATTTTTTGTTGAACATTTCCTGAGAGTCGATAATTACCGCCAGGTTTCTGCGTCCTGAGGATTCTGTATGTTCACTGATAAGGAACTCGGTCTGGTTTGCTCGGGGATCAGAATCTAGCCTTGGGGAAAGTTGTCGTGAAGTGCGAGAAATAACCAGGCTACCAGTCCTGTGTAACTGTAAAAAATAATATAAAGATAGGAAATGAATGGATTAATGCATAAAGCAAGGCTCTAAAAGCAAATCATCCTTTAATTGAAAAAATTGGCCTGATGAGTACTGCTAAAAATGAAAGGTTTTTATAGATATCTATCAAATCTTGGAGGTTGAAGCGCTTAAGAAGTCGATTGGAAGCAGCATCGTATGAGCTAAGCTGGACTGAGTTGGAATGGAAGTGCTTGGAGGAAATTCCAAGTAGATGTAGTCTATTCTGGAATGACATAAGGAATACCAGAGTAGGAATAAATGACTTATATGGAGAGGGTTAATTTCTTAGATAATAGCGATACTTTCGAATGGTAAAGCAGATGAATTCGCTTGCCTCTAGCCAAGTTGCAAAGATAATAGATAGATACTAGACAAAGTGCACTGCTATAACGACTCGAAAATAAAAGCAATCGATGCTGTGATTCTCGTATAGGCACTCGAGCTCTATGTTAGTAGGGAAGTTTAGCTATATAGGAGACGATAAATTAATTTAAGAGATAAATCAACACAAGTCACGGACTGAAGCACAGAAAATTGCCTAAGTTACAAGGTATTTCCAAGTCACATTTTATGGCCAATTTTGTCCCAGCAAAGTCATTATAAAAATAGGTAAAAATGGCGTACATAAAATGAGTAAATAGATAGGGATCGCAGCAAGTGAATCGGAGGCATTCCAAATAACCTAATTCTAAGCAATAAGCCAACCCACTATAGAGACAATCATTAAAATGCTTAAAAATCTCAATAAATAATTCAAGATAAATTAAGAATGGCTAATATAAGACGTTTAATGTTTGGTATTTTTGGTGAGCAATAGAGACTTCGAGAATGAATGTAGCATTCTTGGATGTAATTTAAGTTAACAGAATGATTTATTTCCACCTAATGTTTATTCATTTAACTTACTCACTAAATGTCAGCTCATTAAAATTGTAAATACGGTATAATTAAGAAGATAAATAGATTAATAACTTATCAGAATAGATTTTTCTGTATAGTCTAGTTCCTTGAAGGTTACTCATGCTAAAGATTCAAAAGATAATTTGAGATGGAGCTTAATTTATGATGATGAAATGAGATTATATATGCAGTATCAAATCAAGTGGGCCTAAAGTATGGCAGACAGGATATATCGCATAAACAGCAGCTCGGAGGTAGTAAGACATCATAAATAACTATAGGCTCCAGACCATTGAGTAGACATAAATATGGAAGTCAATTTCAAGATAAGAAAAAATTCTTTAGTACAGCATCCTTATAGGACGCCTGCCGGACCCAAGTAATAAGCCCTACACTAAAGGGGGTTTTGAGGGTCAAATTTACTCTCGATTTTAAAGCCAATAAGTTTAATGCAGAGCTTTGGAGTAAATATTTCGCTGAAAGATGAAAGTTATAGTTATAGTTCTCTATCGCTTGCCTCAAGCCATTCATCCGAGGTAAGGAGTGAGGGTGTCGCTGTTGGCTGTAAGGACCCAGTGGGAGAATCGTTTGCAATGGTTGGACTATCGGATAATAGAGCATCTGCGGAGGCCGAATGAACAAGAGGGGGGAGCTCTGCGGATGCGAAGATTGAGGAAGTCTGAGTTAAGGAAGCAGACGAAAAAGTATTGTATGCAGCAGGCTGATTGTCAGATATGGAGACTACACAAGCATCAGAAGAAAGGATAAAAGTTGAATCCTGTGTGATATCAGATGGAGTAGAGGCCATTAGGTCATTGTTCACGCCTTTCTCATGCAGAGGAAGGAAATTAGACGAATTGCTATTAGTAGATAGGCCTTCAGCACAGGCTGTTCTTTCATTACATAGACTAGTCATTTTATTATCTGAAGACGAGTTTAAAGAAGATATATTAGATTCTGTCCCAGAAGTGGATACGGTGGTAGACGAGGTGACTGGATATGGAGATAAAAGAGGAAAATCTAGCTCAAGATGGCAGTCCTCACTAGTAGATTTCCCCATTGGGTCCACGGAGACGACCAGTTCATCTAACGTGATCAAGAGAAGTGGTGGTTGGCCAGAGTGATCAAGTTTACTTGAAATGAGACTGTCGCTGGATCTATCAGTAGTAATATCGATGCGGCTCTGATTTGCCAGGCAGTCTAGAGACATTTTGGGAAACTGAATTAGACCGGGCGAAATTGACGGGGATGGAAAGGAATTGTGGACAGCTGCATTAGGCTGTATCCGATTAATCAGGACATCAGGAGAAGGTGGTACTGATAGGAAAGAACCGGAAGTTTCACATCTTTCCTTCGCATAGCTGCCACTAACAGAATCAATGGTCTTGGTGCAAGTGCTATTGATGGTGCTGGCTGTGACGGAAACAGTATTTATTTCGTCAGAACTGACAAAAGAGCCTTGTCCAAGAGAGGAGAAACCTGATGTGCTTGTAGTGCTAACAGGGATGCTGGTGCATGAAGGAGTACAGATAGTGATTACTGGGTCCGTATGAGTCACAAGGCTAGTGACGGGAGAAGCGGGGTTGAGTTGCCGAGATGAAGACTCATGTAACAATGATAATGCTGATGCTGATGATGAAAAAGAGACATATGGCTTTGATAAGAGAAGAGCAGGTGCGGTAGTAGAGGGAGATTTAGATTGCCCTGGAGGTAGAGGTATAGCAGTAGCAGAATTGGCAGCAGAAAACGTTGATAAGTTTGTGACAGGAACTGTAGCCGTTGTGGAGGAGCGAGTCAACAGACTGTCGGCTGGAGGTAGTCCGGTAGAAAAAGAGAAGTGATCTTTTTCATCAGACAAGCTAACAGCAACAGATGAAGTAGCCTATAAAAGTGCATAAATTAAATGCAAGAATGAATAAAATTATAAATAGCGAAGCCATGTCAGACTTTAATATACAGAGACCTATATTCAAGCGTAAAAATAGAATGTTCAGGGTCCTCACTGGCAAACTCTTGTCAAAACCAATTAGTAAGCGTCGCAGAGAATGCCGAAAGCACCTACATAAGTGCTAGTTGATTTTCGTTAGCATGAGCAAGAAAACTTAACAACAAATAAATATTGATATTGAGGAAAAAGTCAAGCTACTAAAGAAATAAAATCACTGTTTCAAGATTAATTGGCGAAATTCAGACTTGTTGTTTGATTACATATCAAAACTATCAGTCATCCTTTTTAATGGTAAATACTTGCGGCATAGAAAATACTAGAGTAAAATGTAATTCAAGAGAAGCCTGGCTTGCCCTGAAGGTTGCCCTGCCCTATGACAAAATGACACCTGTGAATGTATAGTGGAGTAGTTACGTGTCGACAGGATGCACACTACCGGGTTTTGAATCTAGTTAGGGGAGCTGGTAAAGTCTGTGCGAGATCGAAACTACAGTCCAACCAGGAAGTAAAAAACTCTTGGAAGGCAAAAGTAAGCGAAATTAAATGGCAACATGAGGCCTTCTCAGAGCACTGTAGGAAAATTCCATAATCAGTATCTAAATCATTGGTGAGCTAAGTGGGCAATGGATCCGGGCAAAGCTTCAACGATGTTTATAAATTCTGTTGAAACCTATCTTATCCTGAGGGGCTGAGAGAAAAAAATTAAGCATGCTATGAAGTAGCATAGTATTACTTAAAATGAAATTCTATTCAAAATGTAGTCCTTGAGAAGCAGTTCATGCTCATAGATGAAATTCACGTATAATGTAATGTCTTATAATCTTTTTTTCTACCGACATGATCTAGGTAGACTACGAGATTATTAATAATTCTCTCATTGTAAGAAAATTTAATTATCATCCCTAAATCACTTTAAGCAACTTATAGTGACTAAGTTCTTACCCAAGAATAGTCTGGAAACTTACGTGGAAAATAAATAATATTATCAACCGCAACGTCTGCTTATTCGATAAAACCACTATAAATACGATTTGAGTGAGGCATGATCTGCCACAATAATGAGACTACAGTCCGTCCTGGATGATATAACTATTTTGAAGGCAAGGCTGTGAGATTCACTAGTATCGTGAAGTCTACTTAAATCAATGTGAGAAAAACTCAACAATCAGTCTCTAAATTACTTTAAGCGGCCTTGAGTGGCGAAGTTATTATCCAAGAATTAATTTACTAGGTGGTGTGCCTATGAACGGTTTTCTTAATAGAAAATCAAATTACCCTATTTCCACCAATAGGGAACTTAATTCTGTATAGTGTCTTAGTTAGAAATAGACTAAAAGAATGCGTCGATAAATAGCATGATACAATTGAAACCAAGGCCTTGATTAGACACTTGCTTTCTCGAGTACACATTAAAAAAAGGTTTTCTAAAAAAACAAAGGCAAACGGTTTAACGGAGGGTATATATAGAAGCACTAGGAGTATTCATTACATAAAACTAAAAAAGATTAGTATTAGAATAACTTCAAAGGATTTTGGATCCCAAACGTAAG